TGTGGTGATGCTCGCATGGCACCAGTGCTCCTGGAAGCCACTCTTGTGCCTAGCACCACAGGATGGCTAGCACCACACCACACAGAGAAAGCAGGGGACCACAGGAGCACCAGCAGGAAAATCCACATTAAATGAGTTGCCAGCTCAACTGGCTGTGGCCCCACTGATGCCACCCGGCATATAAAGGTGTGTGGTGGAGAAAGCCAGAGCGGTGGAGGCAGCAGTCCTAGCCGAATGTAGCTGAAACACTTTCTTTTGACATGTTTACAAAATGTAGAAGGACGTGAGCACATTGCAGGGCCTCTCCCAGGGCCTTGGGACGGCCAGCATCAGAGTAAGTCTGCTCCAGCTGGGGCGGCCAAGTGCCCTGTGGAGAGCACTGACCCCTGAGGGCTGGTGGCCAGAGAGGCATCTGAGATCCCAGCTGGCTCCTAGCTTTTGATGCCTCCTTGACATCTCTTACATGCCATTCTCCCTCTGCCCCTCCTCCGTTACTGTGTTAATCCCTGCATGCTTCTAGATTATTCTCAGGGGTGGCTTTGACTGCACCTCAAATCTCTTTCCCACATCGTGACTGGAATCATTTTTGAAGGACAAAGCTCAGGTTCTTTCTGCATGGAGTGTCATGCGTGGTCTGGGTTTACCCAGCCCTACCTGTTCTCTGACCCACCTGCCCATGCTGGCACTCCTCCTGGCCCTTCCTGTCTCTACTCAGGTCGCCGGTTCCAGGAGGTGGAGGCTGGCACAGCTCCCTTGGGGCCTCTGCGACTGCTCTGTTCCTCTCACACCTGGATGCCACCTTCCTGTCCTTGTCTGGATGCTTGTGGGTTGACCGTGTCCCCCAAGGACTATAAGCTCCATGGGAGCAAGCAGCTTGTGTCTCAGGTGCTGGAGAGGCCCCCCTTCCAGGCTAGCATGGGCTGTGGCACAGATGCTGCCCACCTGCCCGTCTGCTGTCAGACCAACGAGGAGCCTGTAGCAGGGCTGGCCGGAGCTCATGGGGCTTGGGCACGGGCCCCAGAGTGAAAAGTCATCAATGAGTCACTGGGAGAGGCTCACAGAGAGGGTCTACGAGGCTGCACACAGACACTGCCAGCACCCAGAGGCAACAGGTCACAGCATCCAGGATGCTGGCCCTGCTGAGGCCAACTCTCCAGCTGATTTCCTCACTCCCAGTGACTGCTGAGTGCTGTGAGTGCTCTTCCTGTGTCTGTCGTTCATCCTCCTCTTTGCTGTTTATTTCATTAATTTCTGCTCTCCCACTGATTTCTTCCCTTTTTTCTCTGCTGCTCGTTTCCAGATTTCTTGTGTAGAACACAACTCATTTATGCCCACAACTTTCTCTTTCTTTAAAAAATACTCCTTTAAAAGATTCCTTTGCTTCTGAGTGAGGCGTCAGCTTAGCCACATCCCAGTTTCTGATGAGATACTTTTACTGTAATTTATTTCTAACATTTTTTGTCATTTTCTTAGGATTTCTTTTTTTAATCCTAAATTATTAGGAGTATAATCAATTTCCAAATAGGTAGGTGGAAGGATGGCTACACATACTCAGACATACATGTATGAAAACACCTTTTCATTGCACTGTGGTCACAGAATATGTTCTACTTGATATTCTTTGAAATTTATTTGGGTTTCCTTTGTGACCTGATTGTGGTGATATTCGTAAATATACCAGTGCTTTTCACAAGAATCCATGTTTTCCCTTTCCAGGTGCAGGCTTGTATCTGTTTTTACCTATCTGCCCACCCACCATCTAGTCACTCAAGTTTATGTTCACTGTGTTGCTTCAAGCCGCCCAGACTCTTGTCCCTTCTCGTGTGGAAGCTTCAGCCCTATTTGTCCAACAAGAGCGGAGGATTCACCCAGGCCCCGAAACCAACCTCAGGACCCAGGGCCCACCCACACACCACCCACCCAGCTGTCCTCGTATCCTCCCACAGAGGGTGGGCAGGGAGTAGGAAGCTCTGGTTGTGGCCAACTCACCTGTCTGGTGACACTGGGCAATAGCTGCTCGGGCAAAGTCCTTGATTTTCTTGTACTTCTGCAAAAAACTCTCCAAAAACTGGGCAGCTTCCTGAACAGGAACTCCAAGGCAAGCAGCAAGCCTCTCCTTCCCTGTCAGTCAGAGAGACGCATGTCAAGGCCTCACTCACACTGGCCGTGACCGTGTGCATGGGCTCAGTGAGTCAGGTCCAGTTGACAGCACTGGTCTTTTCTGATGGGTTGGGATGGAGTTGGTGTTGGCTTTACAAGCTGGGTGCTAGGTGCCAATCAATCAGGACTGGGGCCTGTGAAACATGTATTTATTCAGTGATACTAACTCAGCGCCTGCCAGGTGTTTCAGGTAATGTGGTGATGAAGTAGACACGGTCCCTCCTCCCAGTGCAGCCAGTGGGAGACCCAATTCCAGAACTGCGGAGGTTAGAGTGGGGCACAGAGGAAAAGAGGAAGGGGAGGTTCCATGGTCAAAGTATGAGAAAATGGTGCTCAGGAGTTCAATATTTGGTTCTAGAAGATGCAGGTGTTCTTGTGACACGTAGAAATGTCTCTGGTTGGGGCCAGGCATGGTGGCTCATGCCTGTAATCCCAGCACTTTAGGAGGTTGAGGCGGACGGATTACTTAGGCCAGGAGTTCAAGATCAGCCTGGGCAACAAAGTGAGGCCTACTTTCTATTTATCAACAAGAAAAGAAAAGAAAAAAAGGACTTTGGCTGGGCAGTGGCTGAGTTCCACAAGCATGTGAGCAGGTTCAGCGACCACAGAAGCCTGGGTCTGGGCCCAGTCCCACCAGGAGGTTCCGTGTGGCCCTGGGGATGTTGCCTGACCCACATTAAAGCTCGTTTCTGCACTGTATATTAGGAACAAGAGCCCTTATCTCCAGCTGGGAGCCCCATGAGCTAAGGCATGGGAAGCTCTAAGCAGTGCGTGGTTCCTACTTGGTACTCAATATACACTCATTCCCTCCCATTTTCCTCCAGAAGAGAATAATAATGTAAATAGAGAATGAGGAATCCATGAGGACATCATCCCTTGCTTGACAGTGGGATCATAGGGAAAGCCTTGGCCCTGGGGAGTAGTGCTGTGTCCTTGGAAGGAACCCCAGAGAGACAAGCAGGCTGAAGACCTGCCTTCCTGGGGGAGCATGCCCGGGACCAGCAGTGGTCTTGGCTGTACTCTGTGATAGGTAAACTCTGGGGTTGTACTAGAGGGGGCTCCATGGACCTTTGGACAGGATAGTGCAGAAAGATGGCCCAGGGGGTGAAGGTGTGGGGTCTGTGAAGACCAGGGAAGAACCCTCTGGAGGAATGGGATCGACTGGCCTCTCTGATTCAGCCCTTCTTTCAGCCAGGCCACTCCTGGCCCTGGCCAGCTAATGGCGCAGCAGCTCTGGACAGAGAGAATATTCAAGTCTTAGGAGAGTGAAGGGGCAGGTGTTTGCTTCCACTGCTTTGCCAGCAAGAGTGGGAAGGTCTGGGGTGCCCTGTTCTCCCCAAGTTTATCCTGGCAGAGAGGGATAAAGTCATAGTCCTTCTATGCCCAGGACTGCCTGATGAATTGGCACCATTTGGCTGGAAATGAAAAATCTCCAATATCTCTTTTAGGGCTTAAAACCTATTATTGTGATATCTTCACAAATAAGTTATGTGTTCTGCTACACTTTACTGAAATAATTCATCTATGACTCTTTCTTTCTGTCAAATTCCAACCACCACCCTCACCTAGTGCCTCAGCTATGGTGCTGCAATGGAAAATTCCCTTGGCTCTCAGAAAGAAATCCAATGGTGGCTAGATACACAAGGTTGGCCAGATGAGACTTTGAGTATCTTCTTAGACAAGTCTTTTCTCACCTCCAATCTGCTGTTAAGCCCATCTGGTGAATTTTTTATTTCTGATATGCAGTTCTAGAAATTCCATTTTAGAATTTTATTTCTTGAAGTTTTCTTTTTTCATTTATTATGAGCATATTTTCTTTTACTTCCTTGAGCTTAGTTATTAATAGCAACTTTAAAACCCTCATCTGTTAATTCCAACATCTGGGTCATCTTAGGATCTGTTTCCATGATTTCCTTTTCTCTTAAGTATGGTTAAGCTATTCTGTTTCTTCCCGTTTAGGAATTTGGGGTTGTATGCTGGATATCATGTATGATATATGTAGAGTTTTGGATCCTATTATGTTCTTCTAAGGGGTGCTATTTTTTTTTTCTGTTTTTCTTTTTCTTTTTTTTTTGAGACAGTGTCTTGCTCTGTTACCCAGGCTGGAGGGCAATGGTATGATCATAGCTCACTGCAGCCTTTAATTCCTGGGCCCAAGCGATCCTCCTGCCTCAGCCTTCTGAGTAGCTGGGACTACAGATGTATGCCCACCATGTCTGGTTAAGGAGTGCTAATTTTTTGTTTACACTTTTTATATATTTATTTTAAAGTGTATATTTAGGACAAACGGTTTTTAAAAATGTATAAAAATAATTCACATAAAAATCCAACTTCTATATTTACATGGTCCCTTAAAAGATTTTCATTTTATTATCATTAAAAATGTATTTCAACAATCTTCACAGTACTCTCAAAAGTCAGGAATTTTAAGATTTTCTAATAGAAAAATTTTAGTATTTATCTACACAAAAATAATGAAACTAGGAATTATGCCATATTTTAAAATATAATGTCTCGGCCGGGCGCGGTGGCTCAAGCCTGTAATCCCAGCACTTTGGGAGGCGAGTATGGGCGGATCACAGGTCAGGAGATCGAGACCATCCTGGCTAACACGGTGAAACCCCGTCTCTACTAAAAAGTACAAAAAACTAGTCGGGCGCGGTGGTGGGCGCCTGTAGTCCCAACTACTCGGAGGCTGAGGCAGGAGAATGGCGTGAAACCGGGAGGCGGAGCTTGCAGTGAGCTGAGATCCGGCCACTGCACTCCAGCCTGGGCAACAGAGCGAGACTCCGTCTCCAAAAAAAAAAAAAAAAAAATATATATATATATATAATGTCTCAACTATGCTGTGCCACATAAGAATAATCTTCACACTAAACGATTATAATTCCAAGTCCTGGAATTTTCATTGATGAACAAAGCACAAAAATATTTCATAGAAAAAAATATTTCATCATAAAAAACATAGGAAGTGGAATGCTTCAAACAAAAATATCTGAGGTCTGATTTCACAACATCAAGTTTCCATATCCACTTTGTAAACATATGCTCAGTATAGGTTACCAGCTTAAATAAAGTCAGTTATCACCGAAAGAAGACATAGTTAAAAAAAATTCAGTGCAAAAATACGTATCAACTAATCAACTGACCTACAACAACTTTGGTGAAAATCACAATTTGAATCCCATCATATAAAGTGATTCTCTGAAGACTTTAATTAAAAATAAAAAGCTCTACAACAGCAATCAAGTTTTCCTTTTGTTACTATTCTCTAGCAAATGCTTTTTTTGATTAGCTTTTACAATGTCATCAGGTGATGCTGATTTGAAGTCAATGGTGTTATCGCTACAAGAGGACTTATTTCTTTGTCCTTTACATCTTGAACTTGTCTACCATAAAGAAAAGTCTTACGGAAGTCAAGGGTGCGTCACTTGCAGCTTTTCAGTGGGTGACAAAGACACAGTGTTGAGGGAAAAGCTGAAGGTCTAGCAGCAAGGGCCTTGGTCTAAGACAGAGAAAAAGGTGGTTTCCTGGTCAGAGAGCCTTTATTGCTTTTCTTATTATCCTTAGCAAAATTGGAATTCTTCCGTAGCTTTGAACTTAGAACTTCAGTTCGTGACGATGGAGCAATGGATTGGTCTACTATACGCTTTGAAACAAAATCTGGGTTTTTTATAAGGACACTGAGATCAATATTTGAATCTATTCCAGGAGACCTCTCTTCAGATAAACTGACCTCAAAGGACTCTTTCTTAATCTGAGAGTTGTATACATCAATCGTTTCTGCAATCAATTCAGAAAGTGATAAATTCTTAAGGTCTCTTGTGAGAAGCTTTAGGAAATGCCAGTGACAACAGAGATCCTGTTAATTCTGATATTCCGGGTGAAGACTGACAGCGATTTGCTAATTGTGACAGGGGAAAGGATCCCAAACTTAGATCTGTGAAACTGGCAGATGACTGGTTACAAAGGTCAGACAAAGTAAAGCACTGGCTTATATTGGTTTCTTTGTGTTCCTGAAACAGTTCTGTTAGGAATGGACTTTCACACTGAGAAAACTGCAAATTATCATTTTTAAAAATGTAATTCTTGGCACTTTGTTCAACTAAAGAAACACTTCCAACTTCAGTTTCTTTACTAGCATTTAAATGATCAACAGTCATATTTTCCAATGAGCTAGTTAAGCACAAAGGATTATTTGAACTTCCTAAACTGCCCTGTACTGGAATGTTTTGAAAATCAGAGAGTGAATTATTTTGAATATATAAAGAATTACTCGGTGTTGTGCTCTTTATCATGATGGCCTTTAAATCTGGCATTTCTTTGAATGCAGAATCATCTTTGGAAACACATTCGGATGCATGAGGTCTCAACAGATCAGCATCTAGGTTCTTTGAAAGTAGACTTCCCAGACTGTCTGTAGATGATAATCTGACTGATGGCTGACTGTCACAGGAATCTCTTGACATATCATGAATTAGGTCAGCTAGTGAAAGTTCTCTTGTTAACTTACATAATTCCAGTTTCTTCTCCCTTTTAAGTCTGTCAAGTTTCTTTTTCCTATGGAGTAAACAGTGACTTGGAACTGAAGAATTATGAGATAATCCGTATTTTCCTACTGAGCTAGAAAAATCAAAGGGTTTGCTACAATAATCCAAATGATTTGCTGACTGAGGATAAGAACTTTGAACATTATTAGCTGAAACTTCAGAAGAGGAAAATAAGACTCCTTGCCTTTTGTTGTCTTTCCTGTAGATACTGTTCCCTCATTCTCGTCCTTCAAATTCTGCATGCTAATCCAGAACCCCTGACAAAGGCTTCTGCACATCAAACTTGTTCTTCAGAACTGCTTCAATTAATATTTCATCTGGCACAGCATCTCCAAGTACCTTCTCTCATTTGATCAAGGAATGAATAAAGATGAGCTTGATCAAATCCACTGAGCTGGTGGTTCGAAACAGAATTGGAAGATTCTTTCAGATCTTCATGATCATATTCTTCTACAGGCTCAACGGAAGGTTTGTCACCCCGTGAATAAATAAACTGAGCAGCTGTTGATGGTGAATTACAATAATCATCCTCTACAGACTGGCCATAGAGATCATCAACTTCAAAATCTTCATCATAGTCAAAGCCTCGAACATTCCGATGCCAGGCCATGACGGTGGAGAGGGTGTTTGCCACAGCCCCTTAACTCCTTCCAAAACACTCTGCTTAGATACTGTGCCAACTCAGGAGTACTAATTTTTTTTTTTTTTTTTTTGAGACGGAGTCTCGCTCTGTCGCCCAGGCTGGAGTGCCGTGGCCGGATCTCGGCTCACTGCAAGCTCTGCCTCCCGGGTTTAGGCCATTCTCCTGCCTCAGCCTGCTGAGTAGCTGGGACTACAGGCGCCCGCCACCACGCCCGGCTAGTTTTTTTGTATTTTTTAGTAGAGACGGGGTTTCACTGTGTTAGCTAGGATGGTCTCGATCTCCTGACCTTGTGATCTGCCCGTCTTGGCCTCCCAAAGTGCTGGGATTACAGGCTTGAGCCACCGCGCCCGGCCAGGAGTACTAATTTTTTTTTAAAGGGGCACTTAGTTTGGCTAAAATCAAACTCTGTCTCCCTGCAGTGGGAAAACGCTGAAATCTCAGGTCAGTCCTTTTTGCCTTGGCTTCTGGAGTGTTTGAAGTCTGTCCCATTCATGCAGAGTCAGGAGTCAGCCAAGGATCTGAGTCGAGGTCGTGCCTGGAATTCGGCCTCATTTCCTGGCTCTCTTCTTTCTAGAATTTCTCCCTTCACTTTCCAGATCCTCTGGCTGTCCAGAACTCTGTCCTCCAGTTCTTCAAGCTAGTAGGATTGTATGTTCCTAGCACAGTTTCTGTCCCCACAGCATTAACTGAGGTTTGCCTTCAGGTAAGGGGCTATAGAATGAGAAATTCGCCAGTGCCGTTCCTTTCTTCCAGGTGTCAGCTGACCTCTGACTGCTGTTGCTCTGGTCACTTCCCAGTGCCTCTGGGTAGTTGTCTTTTTATACATTTTCCGCAGTTTAAAGTTGGTCCCTGCAGGAGGGCTGCTCCAATGGGAGCGACTTGGCCATCACCAGAAGTCATGCCTTGCTTTCTAAATACTTATGGCCAAGGGAGAATCCCTTTCCTTTCTTCTGTGGAGCTGTTGGGATCTCTGAAGGGCAGCAGGTGGCCTCAGTCCCCACGCATGAAGAAGGTCCATCCACAAGAGAGCGGACGGTGTGGTGGCTCCACACGCAGCAGGGACGAGAGACTGAGATGGAGCCTGAGGGTCCGGGAGGACTTCCAGGCCCTGGATCCTTGCTCCTCACTCCTTGGACACCCTTAGCAGTGGGGCTGTCACACTCAAAGGTCACTGTCCCTTCCCCAAGCAGGATGGCTTTTGGCTCTGTGGGGACTTCTCTGTCCCACGCTTCCTGTGGACTGCTCCTTCTTTTCATAGAACTTGTCCCCACACTGTGATTCCGTTGATCCTGTTTCACACACAGGCCCTGAGAGATCTGCATACTAGGGGCACTAAGTCCTCCCTACCTCTGAAATCCTACATGAACACACAGTTTGACTCTTCCCACAGACAGCTAATCCTATCTGGTGGGTACACATGTGAGTCTATGTATGTGTGTGTGCTACAATTTGACGTTTAGCAGGGACAATCTTCACTCCCTTTCCTCCAAGTGCTCTTCTGCTCCACATATATTGCTAACAGGCTTTCACTCCTGTTTATGTCTCTAGGGATGAGCAAGTGCCTGTACATAGTGGGCCTTTGGGAACGTGGGCTGGTCTAGCTGGAACAGACCTGACATTAAATCCTATGCTACTTTCAAAACTCAGCTTGGGTGTTGCTGCCCTGGGCCAGCTCCTGGACTCTCCCAACTCTCCTTGGGCTGGGTCCCTCCCCTGGCTCCCTTGGTACCAGGGACTCCTGTAGATGCACTGATGGCACAGTGCTATGTGCCCAGGCCTGCTCCTGTGTCTCCTCTGACAGGTGCGAGCCCCTCGGGAGCAGGCACTGAGCCAGGGGGTGTGCCCTCAGCACAGGCCTGTGGGTCACACGATGACTGGATGTGGAGACAAGCTTCAGAGTCATGGAGTCATCTGAGAAGACTCAAGGGTTAGACTCTAGGAGCAACAGGGGCTCAGAGCAAGATCCGAGGAGTCAGGAGCTGCTTCCAGGAGAAGGCAGGTTCCTGCTGGGCTCCGCAGCAGCCATGAGCAGGGCCGTCAGGCTGGGGATGGACATTTGAATTCAGTTGACTGATAGAGGAGCAGTGAGACTGTGAGCCAGCCTCTGGGGTCAAGGCTCCCGGACAGTGGCTGCTCTGTTACTCCGTGTGTTCCCTGCCAGCTCCTCCACAGTGGCTGCGGGGGCTGAGCGTACAGACCTTGCACCCTCTGGGGCATCTCCCCTGCCTCTCACACAGTCCTGCCGCTTCCTCTGCTATCTTCTTTACAGTTTTCACAATAGTCATGTCGCTGATTTCTCAAGAATGTGTAGGAACCGTGCCTTGCCCCACGCCCCCAGCATTTGTGGGCCGTTCAGAGGTACGTTACGTGAAAACACGTCACTGCAATCCGCTGCAAGCCGGTAGGTGCAAATCTCCTCTATGGAATTTCCAAAGGGTACCCAGCGGCCCGGGAGGCCTGGCAAGTTCACGGGCTTCCTCAGTCCCAGCTCATGTGACAAAGTTTCAAACACGAGGAGAACAGAGATGCAGCCTAAGCCCACAGCAGTGGATACACAGTAATTCCAGCTGTCAAGCCAGACCGGAACAATGGGAGCAGCAGAGCCGGAGGCTCAGGGTGGGAACCCGTGTCACTGTCACAGCTAAAAGCAGCCAAATTACCCTTTTCGACATTATGGGTAATGACTCAGTACTTATTTACAAAATGCAGCTCTTTTCCTCTCCAGGAAAAAAAAAAGAAAAAGAAAGTGAATACTCCAGAAGGAGCCAAATGGGTGGCAGAGAAGACCACCTTTTTCTGAGGAGGTCAGGGCAGCCGTCCTGCCGGAGCACAGCTGCCCCACGGCAGGTGCTCGCACTCTCATTCTGTGTTCCTCCCTCCTAGCTGGATTTGGGGTGGCTGCCCCAGCTGGGGACAAGGCCGGGGCTGCCACAGGAGACCTACAGAAGCTGCTCAGTCACTTGGAGGCATTTATTGACATGGCACAGAAGTGAAGTAGGAGTCAGACGTAACGGCAGATGACACAGATGAGAGCTGACTGTGCCAGGTATGGCCCCGTCCACCCTATGAAAACATTTTCCCAGGAGGAGATGGCACAGGGAGGCGGAGGGCCTTGTACAAGGCCACACAGTCAGGAGGTGACAGGGTTGGGGATCAAGTCCAGGCTGCCTGGCCCAGGATTGGGGAGGTGATGTCTTGCCCGCAGAGCAGAAGCAAATGTTATGTTTGCAACACAAGATGCTGGAGCAGGATGCAAGGCAACAAACTCTCATATAATTTGGCAGAGTGATGCCTTCCCCACAAGACAGAGGCCCCAGGGAGGTTCAGGGGTACAGCACAGAAGAGGCTGAGAGGAGGAAGTGGACCAAGCAACTTTGAGGAGAATCAATCCAATGTCACATTACTGTCACTCACAGAATCTAGTTCTTTAAAACAAAGTTTCTTAGTCTATTTTCCAAAAACCATGTACACAATCAGAATGTTTTCAAAAGTGGAAATAAGACCACCAAGTCCACTAATTTGTTCCTGTGTCTTCTCTGTGCCAGGCAGTGAGCTAAACTGATGAGCTCCTTTCTTTGAGGTGCCCATGTTCGAGCTGGTGCATGAGACCATGAACAGGCAAGTGGGTGCAGAGCTGGCGTATCTTGCTCCCTCGCTGGTTTGAAGAGCAGAGCTGCCAAGATGTAGGCTCTGCCCCAGGCGTGAGGCCCATGTGGCAAGGAGCTGAGACCACCTCCGGCTGACAGCCAGCAAGAAATAGGCCAGCCAGGTGCGGTGGCTCACGCCTGTAATCCCAGTACTTTGGGAGGCCAAGGCGAGCAGATCACTTGAGGTCAGGAGTTCAAGACCAGCCTGGCCAACATGGTGAAAGCCCATTTCTCCTAAAAATACGAAAAATTAGCCGAGTGTGGTGGCAGGTGCCTGTGATCCCAGCTACTCAGGAGGCTGAGGCAGGAGGCTTGAGCCCAGGAGTTGGAGGTTGCAGTGAGCCGAGATTGTGCCACTGCATTCCAGCCTGGGGAACAGAGCAAGACTGTCTCCAAAAAAACCAAAAAAACAAAAAAACAAAAACCAAAAAAAACCAGAAGCCAACAAAGTGGATCCCTCCCCAGCCACAGATGCGACCACAGCCCCAGCCAACACCTTGACTGCAGCCCTGCAGGGGACCCAGTTATGGCATGCCCACACCCAGAGAAACTGTGGGATAGTGTGTATTATCTTAAATTACTATGTTTTTGGCAATTTGTTACCCAGAAATGGGTAACAAATACTGTGGTTGAGGAAGGCTGCACAGGGGAGAGTTGAGCGCAGGTCTGCAGAAGTGAGGGATGGGCCCTGGTGGTGCAGGGACAGGCGTTCCGGTAGAGGGAAGAGCAGTGCAAAGCTCTGAGGTTGGAGCCAGCCTGGCTGACTGGCTGTGGTTCTAGACAAGCCAGCCATCCACAGTTTCAGGGTGGGGCACTTTGGACCCTTGTTCAACAGCACCACAGTCTCAATGGAGACTGTAGGGCAGCTCTTAGGGACAATCTACTATGTGCTTGCCCCATTATTCTTCCACTGAAGCTTGTTTGGTTTTGCTGCTTTTCTGTGAATAAACAAAGGGTTTCCATGGCAGAATGGTGAATCTTCTTTTCAGGGTCTTTGCACAAGCCCTGCTGCTCAAAGAACTGATCACAGGGAAAAGGAGGTCTGAACAGGCTTAAGAAGGAGCTGGCGGGCTGGGGGGGAAATTAGGCCACACTGATTCAGCATGACCCAGGGCCAGAAAAGAATTAAAAAACCCCAGACAACCCATGTCAGGGAGTCCAAGGGAGAGTAGAAGAAGGGCGAATGGAAGAGAGTAGAAGGCCTGCTTTGACATGGGCGCTGGGGCTGGGGGGTAGGGGGAAGGAGGGAGAGCAGCAGAAGCAGGAAGAGAAGCGAAAAGGGAAGGGGAAGAAGAGGCTTGCAGAAGAGGCCCCAGGCAGCCCAAACCTCTGGCCTCCAGTCCTTCCCGGCCTAGCTCTGCTTTCTCCTATCTGCTACC